GTACCTCACCTGGAAGTTCATCAGTCATGCAGGACGGGAGAACCGACAAAAGGTAAGAAGGAGGACACTGATAGGGAGGTTAGTGGTGCACGTTTAAAACCTGATATGATTTATGTACCAGTTACTCTAAAAGAGAAAACAACATCTATCATTAATGTTAATAATATATTAGTTAGCCGTGCGTCGTAATACAGCAGTCTCTTGGTGTTGAACAGAGGTGCGCCTGTGGCCTATAGATTGACTCAGGTGATATCTGATCATGATTAGTCGTTTGGATACTCGACTCTGTTTGTTAGTGGAGCGGTCTGTTCGAGTCATTCCAAGTGACTCCGATACTTTAACTTGCCACGCGGTTGCTATGTTTGTGTCCTGATCCGTCTGTCTGGTGATCCAATCGTATTGCTTTGTCCGAATAATTTGGTATTTTTTTATTGTATTGTTACGTAGTAGTGGTATGGTCAGTTCAGTTCAGGCGCACAGACAGCGCCCCGAAGTGCAATCGTCCCAGATGCTACAGCTTTATTCACCGAAGGTAGGGAGAGCAAGTTATGAGAGCCACGTGTTGGAGACGATGTGCCAATCAGTCCATTGATATTAAATAGCATTTGGCCGGTATGGCATGGATTAAGAGCTTCACAATGAAGGCGATAGCTTTAATGCAACACCGTCATTGGCCGTATGACAGCCATATTTGTCAGGGCTAATCAACTTCCATTGTACGCATTCGGTGAGGGAACAGTTACAAACCATATTGCTGAGTTGGAGAATGACCGCCGCTGAGTCGTCTCAATCCGGTGATAGGGTGGGCAAAGACAGCATTACGAGTCGAACGTTTTTCTGGTATACGAAGTATATGGCCCAACCAAACCAATCTGTGCAGCGTGGCCAGTTTGTCCCTCGAAGGAGAATGACCTGTTCTGAAAACCAGCTGGCGTCTCTCAGCGTTACTGAGCTTATGTCCTCTCAACACCTGGGCAATGCTTTAGAGACACCGGTGGTCAAATGTAGAGAGTCTTCGAAAACCATTCACGCAAAACGGCCACATTTCTGATCGGACCGAAGCATTGCACACTCTACCGCGAACAGTCAAAGTGTCCTGGCCTTCTTAACTCGGGGATTGCTTTCATCTTTCATCATACTTATGAATTTCCCCAGGTAAACGAGTCTATCTACTAGACGTTCAATTTAACTGAACGAATGAGGTCTTGGTTTGACTCCACTCGAACATGCAACAGCACTTTACCCTTTTGCAGCTGCGAACCGCACACTGAATTGTGCATTGGAATTATTTAGGTCACTTAAGATATTTTTTAATTCCACACGGTCCGACCGAAGCGGGGTAATATGGTTAGCAAAATCAGCGTCTGTGAACAAACACCTCTGTAGTACTTTGATCCCCAAAGTGTTATAAAAAGACAAACAAGGCTCAATCAGCATGTCAATTGCGAAGTCAAAGGGGAACAGCAACAGATGACACTCCTGCCTGACACCAGTGGATGTGGGGAGCACAGGAGGGGATTTATCGTAGACAAAGTCGCGTGTAATGGAGAAGAACCTTTATAAGAGATAAGAATTTAAAACAGAGGTTCTTATTTCACAGACGATGCTACAATTTCTAATGATCAGCCAGATCAAAATCAGGGTTCGCCTTCGAAATAGTGGCCAATTGTTGTTCAGGATGTTGTTTCAGTACTTGTCACATATGACTGATGAAACCTCAGCCAGCATGAGGCCAAGCCCAAGTCTCTCAATGATGGAATAAACTGCGTGGGATAATCTGAGAGTGTACTTTGGAAGTTAAGGCTACCATGCTGATGTCCAAGTGACCTTCTCATCGGGTTTTCTCACCCTTTTCGAATATTGGAATAACCATCGAGTTCTTCTATTGTTTTTTTTAATTTTCTTCTCACTCCATACGTTTTAGAGTAGTATAGTTAGGTTAGCCAACTTTCTTAAGGATTTCAAGATGCAGACTGACTAGACCAAGTGTTCTGTCGCACTGAAGCAATGACACGCTGGACTTCCGATGTCGACAGCAGGCTGATTTCAACGTTCAACTTTTAACCGGCGAGCTCCAAAATAAACAACAGTCATTTCTCGAAGCTACCCACTGGTAGCTGGTTACCACATAGTCCAAATGAATCAGCAGTAGGCTTGCAGTTGGTGAACTCCGATTCACACGGTGGGAGCGCTTGGGTTGAAATCCTGTGCTGGCTAGAAACAAATGATCGACGCGATTCTCGTACTTCTCGGACTGTGAGAGACCACGAGAGAACCCCTAGAGCTGCCGTCTGTGGGGCCGAATGCTGACAAAAAAACAGCGTTTAACGTTGATATGCATTTTTACGAGTCAACTTACTAGCGGACAGACGACTGTTTACTGGAATCCATTCCAGTGAAGTGTCTTCAGTCCTGAAGCTATTCACAACGCTCACACTCATGTACCAAAAGCGAGCCATTGCAGCAGCAACACCAGACATCCGAAAGGTAAAGTATCAGGAATCTGGTTTGTACCAAGTGGTTTATTGTGTATGACCGAACAAATGTCTTGTATGCGCCTTCCGGAGACAATGTAGTTCGATGGATAGAACATGGTCTTAACAGGAGCTATCAGTTGAACAAATGGGCACAGAGTACAGACTTTAAAAATAGCACTGTAGAACTGATCCCTTAAATTTGATAAGGGTTTATTTTGATTTATATCGATGAGTCACAGCTTATATATGTAGCACGGGTTGAAGAAGTGACAGTTAAATGGACATGAATGAATTGAGTTAAGGACGCATGAGAAGAAGTCAGCGAATAAAGAGATGTAGGGGCGAATTCGACTTTCAAATTACCTAGGTCGGAGAGGTCCTTTGAGGTATCTCGCCTTGAGCCTTTGAAGCAAATTCTGAACCATGAAACAGTAGCTTCTAGGGTTTTGTTTATCAAATGTTCTGGGAGCTAATAACACAGAAGTTTGCCATACTTGGCTGCAGGAAGTTGGAACATCCCGATGGCGCAGGGAAATGAATAACCGTTTGACTTCCAATGTGGCTGCGCATAGTAGGTACCTTATGAGCTGTACCAGACGCTTCTGTTTCAAATATATCTCGACTGCGTTGAAGATTGGGTCAGGGGCCATGACTAATCGTTGGGTGATCGAGTATGCCCTTTTTAGGGCCGAATTCTTCTAGTCCGTCCTTCCCTATAGGGGAGGGTGGCATCGCTGCATCCATAAAAACATGGGAATGTAGTCATCTGGAGGAGAAAGTGTGACGCTATCTCTAAGGTGCCTCGTACTACGATTTCCCATATTCCGGGGACTCGTTGTTCTTTGATAAGTTGTGCCCCATTGGCATGGGTGAACCTTAATGGAATGAGCTCCAGCCAGCGTAACCCACAGGAGTATTGCAGCAGTGAAGTACGATCACAATGACAAGGTGACAGTTTTAGGTCAGGGTAGTAGTTTTTACTAAGGTCGGAAGGAAACGTGGTGGCCACAAATCAACCCACAAGTCAGTCGATCTGATTTTAGTACCCAAAAATTTCAACCAGAATACCAGAACCAGAGGACCGAAGTAACTGCTTGGACAAAAAAAATGAAAATCAACGGGGAAGAATGAACATAACGCAGCAGTCAGAAGGCAAATTCCACTTTCTCTGTTTGGAATGAACGACAATCAATAAGGAAACAAACTCAATATAGTAAAACTGGAGGCCAGAAATCAGCAAGGAAGCCTTGAGAATCATCTTACTCCACCACGAACTCAACTCTACAAATTCACCCGATCGACCTACCATTGCAGGCAAATTACCAGCCTATACGGACGAAGTAATGCAATTGGGTCATCAGACGGACGGATCATGAGACAACCGTTTCGGCATCCATCGTCGGCCCCTTCGGTGCTTCTTCTGATTATTTGTAATCTATGACACATTTGTCACGTACAGGGGCGAGATGGATCAAGTGGTTAGAGCGTGAATTTACTGACCGGAAGGTCCGTGGTTCGAACCCGACCTCTGCCTCTGGTTTTCTCCTGTCTAGGTTTGGGTGACCTGGCAGTATCCCCATTCCTCGTGCTTTCTTTGGGTGGCATGGTAGCTAGGCACCGGAAGGATGTTAAAGCTGAACGGGATAAGCCAGCCGGTCGAATAAGAGCTTTCATCAAAGCAGCGTGGTGAGTCAGCGTGAGACTTACATGTACGGAAGGAGACCTAAACCAATGGACATTTAGGCTTCCGACCAAGAGAAAAGGTTCAAATCAGACGTTACAAGGACCAAAGACGTTTGACTAAAGGAGGGGTGAATAACCGGGGACGATATCGAGAATAGGGTCACTAGGCTTGGTCGATCTAGCTTGTAGACGCATAGCGCAGGCCTGTAACTTATTCCTGTGGCATTCAGCCTTGCAGTCCTGGTGTTCCGTGGTAACTTCAAAAGAAACTCATAATAACAGCCAAGGCCTTTTACCAGCCATAATGTCATTGACCAGAGAGCATATTTATTCAAGCTGACCAAACATAGTGACCTTTATTCTCGACTGAACCCGAAACGTCCGAACCTCTAACTTGTTCTAAGGGACGTGCCTCAGAGTTTTGTAGCTAGTGCTTCCAACTTTTTTTGACCAACCGACCATTTACGTATTTGTTGGCTTATGTTCACCTTGTTATACTTAACAGTCTAACGAGAAGGTGCCTAAATAAATTACTTCGCTTTGTCTACGTTCTATTCACATTCCTGTATCTAATGACCATGAAAAAATTCAGGGTTGCCCATTCGCTCCAATAGATTGAAGCAATTTCAATGTCTTTTCACAACGGAAATGGTAAAACACGTAAAAATGACGGGACCGATTCAACCGTAAACAATCAGCCAGCCCAGCTAATCAGTTAAGCGAGAAATACAGTCTTCCACGACCATGTTTGATGCAATGGTTTGTGAGACCAACACAAGTGGCAGTCCATGAGTTACACGGGAGCAAAAATCACATTATACTGAAGCACCATTCGTTCTACTAATCATTTTCAAATGTTCCATAAATACTTGTTGGTGTTCTCTGGCTGCTGTCAAAAGCTGCTCGTTTGAAATAACCCGTTTCTGTTTTCTGTATGCACAGTAGCCAGTCTCGGTGCGATTTAAGCAATCGCGTGTACGTTCTGGGTTCTCGTATCTCTAGCTGGCCGAGAGCGAATTTCGGATCAATCGCTGTATGGTGTGGAGAGAAGAAGACAGTGTTGTGACTATTAGTAGTAATACTGAGAAGTACACAACGAGATTATCAAAGTAAACACTTTAACATTGTAACCATCGACGGTAGCATTTTCGCCTAATGACAGATTTATTGCGAATTAACTTCTGCGTATTCTTAGACGAAAAGGTCAACTAAAGTAATCCTCCCTCAATAGCCACTCAAAGAGGGTGTTACTTTCAGTCCAGTAGATTTATTGAGATTTTGCTACTCTTCTTCTCCTTAAATGTATGCAGGGTACAGTTCATAATTTCTACACAAGTAAAAATCACGACGGATACATCAGAGTAATGCTTCAGTCTGGGAATATCAAACCTAAGATTGCCGACTGCCCTAGCACATTTATAACGCTGCCTTGAAGCAGGAACGGGATATTAAGAACACAACTTGGCAGATAGTTAAGCGTATTAAAACTTTTCCTACTACATTTTGTCTGGTTTTCATGCGGTTGAAGTAGATATAAAGAAGGCAGAAAATAGTATAAAGCTATACATGTTCCCGACAGACTGACTTGTAGGACGATTTCCACATGATCACACGTTTTCTTACCATGTATCCTATTACTCAGACCCTTGCGGTTATATTCCAGTCTGCTTCATCTGAAACGGCCCAAAAGATTTGTAATACTATAAGTTATAGGTCATATTCGGTTCTGCTGATAATGCCCGAATATCTCACTCCAACCTTCCAAGTTCAGAACCCTCCTGGCAGAAAATAATATGTTCGCGTAGGGGTTGATGTGTATTTTGAGTCACGAATTTCAGTTGATGGCACAATTTTATGCATCTGTAGGGATGCGTTTTTGTCCACCGCTGGAAACCGCGGTGTTATTGATAATTAACGGTAGTAAAGACAACCAATAAACAAAATTTAAAGTCTGTTTGATTCAATGATCAATCCACGAAGTTGGAATGATCAGCCATCAGAGTTGTTGACCGACTTTGGGCTCTGTGGACGGTTGTTAAATAGGAGAAACAGTTAACCAACCATCGTGTCACTTCGTTTGGATTAGCGCTTCTATTTCCGGAAGCGTATTGGTAAGCAAAAGTGGTTTTATAAAGAACTCAATCGTTAACAAAAATGTACCATTCAGTGAGAATCTAGTGATTCGTTTTTCATTAGCAGCTTATGAAATCTATAGCCCACAATGACGAATCTTCGACGAACACGATTCATGCTTGGGGGGCAACTCCTCATTCTTTGAAATTAGATGCGTATGAATCGATAATTTGACGGTTGGGTAGTTCACTTGGACTGCGAGGATATTCATGATATTGTCACATTTCTACCAACGGGAATGACACCGTTTAACTCTGGTTTGGCGTACCCATTAACCAAAATTGAATGCTGTTTACTCCTTTATTGACATGCGTGCAGGCACTTAGCTTTGGGTCAATTTTCTTGTGGTTTGATCATTTGGAAAACATACTCATCTCTAACACCTTAATAAAGCCTTTTCTCTCCCGTTCCACTAGCACATTAGAAGAGACGCAATCCCGCATGTAGTTTGGTTAGCCTGGTCACAAGTTAGTGATGCGTCAGGTTACTGGCATGGAACGAAACAGTAAACCGCACAAAGATGTTCACCAAATATGTCGGCAGGATATAGTGTTCTGATGCATATGAAAACTGGTGCTGATTGACAGACACGGATTGAGCGACAGTGTAATGAAGAATGTTACGGAAAACCTTTTGCTGAAAGTATTGGATTTTGGCAGGCAGGTGCCACGTTTAAGCAAGCGGTGCCATATTAAGTGACCCTTAGCGGTAGTTTCTGAAGCGAAAGTTGTAGAGAACTTCCTCCTTCCGCACATCGTGTTCGTGACTGACGTTTTCCAACGCTGAATTACAGTGGTTGTGTTTATTCAAGAAGTGCCCGAAGTATCCCATTGTGCACATTACCTAGTAGTCTATGCATCAGACAAAATTTTAAAACAGAAAAGAGAAAACTAAACTTCCATCTGTTAAGTGTTTACAGAGTAACATCTAGCTCTCAGAATCTCAGTTGAAATTAGAACACCAGCGACAGATATGATGTTCCCAAAATCCTTTAAGCGAAGACGAAAAAGGCGGCGTTAAGCTCTCATGGTGAGCTGGTTGTGCCTGGTACCGTGTGACCGGGTACAAAAAGTGATATTGTGTAGCTAGCGTGGATATGATGACAACAAAAACCGGGCCCTAGTTCTGCACAATTGTTGATATGTGGGCCATGACGGACAGGTTTTGGAACCTCTGGTGAATTGTCAATGTACTGTCAGTGTGGACAACACAGAAAACTGGTTCCCTTGCATAATGACTGTTGTATGAAGTTTTGTACGAACCAAGTTAGGAATTCAAAAGAAATACGTGGAAAGCTTTTAGTAACGAAGCAACAAACAGCGCGCACTCCAAGATTTTGCAGAAGCGCTAAAGTTGGAGGTTTGTTAATCGGCATCATTTGCAGCTACTGCATTGGGACAATTCTGGTATTCGACGAATTTCCTGCTCTGGTCTTCAGACTACCAAAATGCATCTTCCACCACGTTAACCGACAGGTCAATTTATGTCGGAATAAGAAGGTTTACAGAAATAGGTCTCCCGTCCGACGCAAGTCACGCTGATACATGCCAAGCATAAGATAATGTGACTACGTCAGCAGGTATTCCTCACCAAAGTTGCCGAATCTGTTTTGCATAATATGGCCAGTAGCTTTGGTTGTTATTATCCAACCGATGTTCATAATGGTCCTACCGTAGAAGTAGGCCCTTTAAAGTAAGTAATATCGTACCACTATAAGTGTATAAAAGCTGTGTATTTCCCTCTTAGTCGGACTCTAGGTAAAGCAAGATACCAAGCGATATAACCAAAATCACATCTCATTCCTTTCGCTCTAGGCATAAACTGGTTTCCGGTTCCTTATCGAGTATATCACGCGAAAAGCCGACACGGTTATTCAATCTACTTTCATTCGATGTATGCTCAACTTTCTCGATTACCAACTAGAGCAACCGCAGTTTTTCTACTCTTGAGTGTTAACTAATGACGAGGGAAGCAAAATATTAGTTATTTTGATTTGCTTAGGGTGTAGCAATCTGGCTGTCGTTATCATTGGCGGATAAGGAAGTTGCATTTGTCCGCAAGGCTGTGAGGTACTTCGCGGCCAAGTTCTCTGGATGGGTTTCCTGACCAATAAAATTGGCTAGTAACATGCGGAGAGGCCGTTTGGTGGTAACCTTTTCGAAACGCTCCATGAGCCACGGTGTATAGTAGCAACCGGAATTTTGTTACAGATGGTGAATATCAGAGGATTGGAAAACCTTTACAAAATTTCGCATAAAGCAGCTTGAGGAAGGTAAACAACACTTAAAATGCGATCAGATAGGAAATCTTGATTGTCCGTATTCACGCGTCTAAAAATTAACCACTACAGTACGGCGTTGAAGGCTGCATTTCAGATGAATTTGAGCAGGAACGATGCATGGAGGAATGAGCCACGTGATTCCTTCGTGATCGGTCGAAACTTTCCCATTAGTTTTGTACTGTTTGTGCTTGGCTGCACACGCTCTATCAGTCGGGCGGGCAAACGAAGTTGATCGGGATCATGGTGGCTCAGGTATGAAAGCAAGCGGAAACAGGACCCTGTTGCCAGTTGCAACTTTTAGTTTGGGAGACAAGGGCGGGTTGCAACAATAAATACGACGGTCGATAAGAGGAAGACCCCAAGTTTGTATTGCTGATTTTTTCAATTTTCCGCCCATGAAATCACACTTCTTTTCTGGGTCGGAAAAACCTCGAGAACTTTAAAGCCAGGGTGCCAATGGTGGCTTTTATTAATTCCTCATACGCGTGTTGAACAGTTCAGGGGACCATTATTGGCAGTGGGCTGTCGCTGTGTACCACGCACAGTGCAGACTCCTGATTGACATACGGGTAAGACCCCTCAATCTCGTCCCGTTTGATCATGACGTGCTTGCCGTCTATGTGATGCCCAAGCTTCTCTCGGTGGATATTCAGGTGGATCACATTTGGCTGATTCCAAACACATCATTCACGAATTGTTATATCCGTTTCTGAAATGTTGTATCTACCGGTACCAGGCATTACACACCCAAACTGTTCGAGAAAATGTGTATACTTCATGTCACGACTATAACTAGCATGAATATCGTCGACCTTGGAAAGAACATCAGTAGTCTTTCTGAAAAAGAAATGCGGGCCTCCAGTGAATGTAGAGAACTTACCGGTGTGAGGACCCATTCAACTGATAAAAGATGCAAGTGATAGCTCGTTAGAGTCAGGAACACCATAAACTAAATTAACAACCCATCAAGCTGGAATTATCAGTTTATTCACCGAAAACGCCAAAAACGTAAAATGTAGAATGTTATCGTTTCGTGTTCAATTTGTCAGCCGTACACTATGCACTATACGAATACGCCCCTTGGCAAATTAATTTGGTTTTAACGGGGGACTCATCTAAATCCCGCTCTAATCACTCGTTTACGGTGATCTTCAACTTAACTGACTGCAGACAGGCCGCCTGACGTTTCAGCCAATACAAAATTCGGGATATGGCGTTGCACTTTCTTGACGGAACTAACTACTCATTGGGCTACTGAAAGTCCTTCAACAGCACACACAAGAAACTGAGCTAGGATTCGTTTGGATTTTCCGTTAAAACCAAGTTAGTTTGCTTGTGGGTGTATTGCGGGCAATCTGTATTAGGTTATAATACAAATTACGTCCACCTCATTAGCACAGGAGGAGCAACACTGGTCGTGCGCTGGGGGAGTATTTCTCAGCAAACATATGGGTAGTGTGTTTCTTCAAAACGAACAACCATTCCACATTTTAAACGATGCACATGAATTTACCAGGTGATTTCTCCAACTTCAGAGCTAGTCATCTGCATATTTCAAGGTCTTCTGCGAGTACAACCTTCGTTGCTAGTGCTTCACCATCACTATCTTGCTGTTTCCAGGGTAAGACCTTGAATACCATTGTGAGATCTACCCGATTACCGGTGACATTAAATGCGTGCCTTTGAGGAAATTAAATTCCACTTCCAGTAAAAAAGCTGCTAGTTGTGTTTGACGAAATGGACTATTTCGTCGGTTTTGAACAGTATCTAAGGTCGAAATGGGGAATACCGCCGTCTGTGCATGTGTTCAGGGTACCTTATTTAATCGCTTCCTTTTGGTTTTTTGTATAATTTGTTGTGACAAGTCTTTGTGTTTCCTTCGTTGGAAAAGAGATAACCGATTTAGTGAACCAGCGAACCACTGTTTTGTCCCAGCATATGTCAGCAGTCCATCCGCACTTATTTCTAGACGTGAAGTACTATGCTCCATAAAATGAGCACTATTCGGAAGCAGGTTGTTTATCTTTCAGAGTTATGCAGTTATGTTTATTTCTTGGAGTCAAGCTCAGAAAGTTCAATATTTTGTAGTGACACCACGCCTTGAAAGCAGTTATATATGGTCAGATATTTTACCACCGATCATCCAAAAATATAACTACATCTTTAATAAAAATGAGTGAGAGATCAGGGAAAAAGTAACAGAGACCTCACCAAAGCCTCATTCACTAATACGGTTTATACACCTGTCTCTCCCAGTTGCACAACAAATGTTGAATCTTGTCACCTAATTAACCCAACTAAGTGAAATATCGAATGATATTTTACACCATCTGCCGTGACTCAAGCTTCTTTCGGTGGTGCTCTTTAGAACTCGCAGGCATCTGAAACGGTAGTCTACAAAAGCACGCCTTTTCTAACACTTTGGTTTTGGCAAGTAAACAGGAGATAGTAGGTCATGTTGTCTTAGCGAAACAATCAGTGATATTCATCTATCCACTGAGACCATGTAAATCACTGGTTGACTAACTACACCGCAACGGACGCGCATTAGGAATTGCGATAACCGAATATTCACACTCCTCACTCGAACAATGGATTTTTCATTATTAACTATTCAGGTGTCCACAATAACCTTGAAGCACTCGAACTTTTTGTCACTACTCGATGGACATTCGAAACAGCCAAGCTGATGATGCCATTCTTATCATTACGCTGTAGATACAGTATCAGTTTAGACTCAGCATACTGGATGCGAATAGTGGTTGCTTCTTTGGCGAGGCCTTACCCGGTGGTCCACAACTATGGAGAATGACAGTGACGCGATTGATGTTTTTCAACCTTTTCAGCTCAGTGACATTCCAGGGAGCTGAATTCTGTTGTACTGGAGTCCTATGATAGGTGTTTTTCAGCCGATCAGTGATGACGCCGCTCACGTGGTAATACTGTCCTAAGGAAAGTTTCTGGATCTAAAGGTACAAAGTATGAGCTCAGAGTGTTTGACAGATTCATGTGAGGCAAGTATCGCCCGATGCTCGAACCGCTGATTTCGGCTGTTTTTGTTATTCATTGAATGTGCAATCAGAATACAGTAAGACACGTTTACCTTTTAATGATCTCCTTAATAAACTTCTACACCGGTAAAATTACCATTCACCGCGAAGTTAATCTGCTATACGTTTTGTGTACTTACTGCTAATCTTTGCTGCGCTTCAGCCATGAATCAACTTTTTGCTTGTTTGACCTGTCGAGTGGCACAATGTGATCTTGCCATACTGAGTCAGTTTGTCTACCCGACCGAGTACTTTCACTGTAGCTTGTGGTAAGCAGCTTGTTAATCTTATGTAATCTCACGACTGTCCCTGGTGGCTTCTACATGAGCAAGCCCACCCCATTTGGTGTACTTATGTTCGTGGTGCGCTACGAAGATAGCCTTATTTGGTCCCTCTTATGAATTGTGCACCTGTTGGTGGAAATTGGGGTACTGGGTAGAAATCTGTGAAGGGAATTCCATATGGTTACTTCTAGCAGTCTTGGCGTTTTGAGTCAGCAGCGAATTTTGGAGATGTTGTCAGCAGCCGAAAGACCAGTGAAATGGTTTGAACATTATCACCAATTTCATCTGTCATCCTGTCGTTCGCCTTTCGTTGTATTTTGAATAAATGTTTCCACTTGGCATCTTAGAAGACCTGGGTCCAGAAAGGTAAACTTTGAATCTTCTACCATCGAGACAGTCGTTGTTGCATTGCTTTGTTGTGCCAGTTTTGCTTACGGATTAAAGCGACAAAACAAAAAATATTACAAGTCAAAATCTGTGTTTGGTATTTGAAGATTTCCTAAGCCCATCACAAATTCCTAACCGTTTAGTGTTTCTAACCGTTTAAGTAGGCTTATTCCACTGGATTGCCTTCTTAGATCAGCAGTAAAAGGACAACAGTGACCTATTATTTCTATCTACTACGTATGAAAAGATGTCATGTGGCCTGGACTATTTTCTTCCAACTCTGCTGAACATGAAAGTATACTGACTGCTCGCGACATTTTGAATGACAAACATGGTGCCAGATAGTTTGCGAACCGACTTCGTGTGAACAATGTTGAGTCTCCTGCAACGCAGTGAAACAGGCGTGTTTTCAAAACCAGTTGGTACGTATGACTATTGGCGTGCAAACTGATCAGATCACTCGAGGTCACTATGATAAGTATTGCAGAACAAAGCGCTGTCCAGGTAATCACTAGCAAGTAAGCGAACTGAACGTTAGAACATACTTGGGCAAAACTGGTTTGAAATAGTGTTGGACAATTACTTAAAAAATATGACCTTTTGAGCACGACGCGTGATACAGGCACAGTGGGCAAATATCAGATGTCATTTTAACAAGATTCTTGTGATAAAGGGTTTCCTCTATACTGATAAGAGATTGAAAATGTACAATTATAAACTCATGTATCAGTTTGCCTAATGCCAGAATAAAGGAGTTTTTTGCTGAAATAAACTTACTCCCGTTACTTTCTTCAAAAACAAGTCGTTTGAACACACCCATAGGATTTCTGCCGCAGTGGACGTTTGCGCTAGTATTGACAATACATGAAAGAAGACCAGCCGTCACGATTAAGAAACTGAATTGCATCATATCAGCTGGACTCAACAGCTGTGCCTACTCAAGGCGATACTGCGGAGTATGCTACTTTGTTATTTATAGCAAGCCTGTGTGCTAATGGCGTCCTCGAGAAGGAAAGTCATAATAACTCAAGTTATTGGCTCCATCCACTCTCATTAGCCACTCTTCCCACTGGGGGCACATAAAAACTGATGCTCTCTTCCTCGGTGTTTTGAAAAGACCAAAAATGCCCACTCATTCAAGCCAAGAATAGCCTCATATAAGCGAGAGTTAAATTTTCAACACTAATTTCTCAGAACATCTAAGACGTACAGTGATTATGGTGGTGTATGAAAATTCAGGAGTTGAGAAGCCACGACACATATACCCCACGTAATAAACAGTGTACGGGACCTTGGAGGGAACCACAGAAATCCTTTATGTAAAGAACCGAATTAGTTATGAGAATGGTTTACCATCCAGTAGCATTTGAAGGGTTAAAAGTGACAAAGGATAAATGGCTTGCTTATTATACATGCTATGAACACATTTCACGTGATTCCATCGAACTTATAAGCGCCTCTTACCGGTCAAATTAAGAGACAACAGTATTTTCCAAAAGAGCTGGAAACACAAAAGGGTGGCAGGCAGTCCATTGATAAAGAACATATTGAATAAAGAATTTACAGATGAAATGTGCAAGAAAGAGAATTCTGTCTATCTGAGAACAAAGAAGAAGTCCGTCAACCTCAATGAGGCCTTCAAATACAATGGCCACTAGCTGTTCCGTGCTTGTCAGTCCAAGAAATTTTGTTGAAAACCTTTCATTGCCATCATTAGTTTATTGTTGTGATGTGTACAGGAATGGTGCAACGAAATTACCATGTTCAGCAAAGAATCTAACCACGATGAGTGATCTAGGCTACCGACATTGCTGCGTGTTATGTGTATTGGCCATTTTGAGCGGCGCTGATGGGACTGCAGGGGACTGAATAGCTGAAACATTAACTTCAGACAATCTCACAAAGATTTTTGAAAGACAACTGGGGGAGAAGCAATAAACATGGTTTTCATGGGTCACCTTCACAGACAGAAATGTCCCCTCTGCAGGGAAATTTCGGAACCATCCACCGCCTGAACTGACAAGAACTCTGTGAATGTTGTAAAGGTAAATTCCATTTTCATTGCCTTCAGATAGGGCTAGACTTCAGAAACCACACAATGCAATCCTGAAGCCTTTTGCCACTCAGCGAGTAGCATTTGATCAGATTCAGCGAAAAAAGTTCATGCCGGCACACATGACATGTTGACATTAGGGTATCAAACTGACATCAAACTGATTAAGGCTGTACATTCATGTGATAAATGAATGGCTTTCAGACCATAACAAGTTGAATAAGGCTACCCATCATTTCATCCTCTTAGAAGTTTCCTTATAAAATGAATCCGACGTACACTGGAGGGGGAACAAATATGTTTTGGTGACATCTAAAAGTATAGCACTTTGCACGTAGGCGAAGGCTTTGCGTGAACGTGAATATTTTCGCCTATACGGCCAGGATTACACAAGGCGTGTATCTCCTGGTTATAAATTCCCGCCCTGCCCCTTTGACAAATGAGCCTTCAACCTTGGTAGTGGACTTCCTGTTCCAATTTGATGGCCACCCTGCGTCTGTGCTTATTCTCGTAATTTGGCGATACCCGTAGATTTCTTTTTTTTACGCTTATAAATACTCTCCAAAGGTCTCCGGAGCCTAACTAGCAAAACACTGCTTCAAATTATCCCACATAAACGTCGTGTGACGCCTGGTTTTTGTGATGTAACATAGATTGATGTTGGATCAAGCTGGTTTGTTATTTCTCACTCACTGGGCTCTTACACTTGCATGTGTCAGTGCTGTGCAACCAAAAGCAACAAATAATCAGGAGATTTTGATAGGAAACATTCCGGCTTTGTAGGGCAGCATTTGTCACGAGGTACGACGATAAAGTGCTAGAAAATGCTGCCGATTGATAAAATTCATAGATCAGGTTTCCTCCATCAGTTCTAGAAATACGGTAAAACAAACTATTTGGATCGTTCAAAATACAAATGTATTTGCCAATTCAAACGCGACAAATCAGACTTTTTAGCCTGTGCTGTCGAAATAATGAAAGCACCTGCTTCAAGTGCCAGAAATCCGAATTTCGGACCTAGATTAACCATGGACACATACGATTGTCAAACTCTATTAAAAGAAAAGCTTAACCCCAGGGATCTCAACTTTTGGTGTGAACCGACTTAGTCAATCTCGCTAAGACACGATAAGGAGTATCCGAACTAAAATGATATGCACAGACCTAGTTCGAATTTGCATTTACTTCCCGGCAAGATAGTCAACTCTAAGACAGGTGACGATGCTTGGATAAGGGTTATGCACTTTGGTATATATTTGGACCACGTGTCTAAAACAAAAACTAGATTCGCACTTAGCGAATATACACTCATTTGCAAACTAATTTGGTTTTTCGGGAGACTCATCTGGAACCCAGCTGAATCTCTCGTTTGTGATGTTCTCAGGCAACTGATTGTGCTGCCCAGGCCGCCTCATGTTTCAGTCGCTACGATACTCGAGATATCGTGATACACATATATTTTTGTAATGCACTGCTCATAACGTTGCTGAAAACTCCTCGACAGCTTACGACCGGTTTCGCCCTTCTTGAGGCACAGTGCGATTTTAAATTCTCGGCCCAAGGATTGAGAATTTGGACCACACAGGGCAGCTTTCCTTATATGAGACCTCCCGTTGTTTGGGATTTATTCTCTGTGGCAGGATGTAATCAAACCAGACGGACGACTAATGACCGATTTCTGCACCATGACAAATATCGCGTGTAAAGCTGAGATAAAAACAAAAAGTGGCATCAGGTGGCATCATCTGATTCACGATATCCTTGTTTCTGTCCGTGTTACTTACTGTCAGACTCATTCAGGAATAAGAGTAACCTAGTGGAGACACTTGTACGCTGCTATAAAAGGTTGTTCAATGTCAAGGTTGAGATATAACCAGATCTTTGGTACGTTTTAATCTATCTTCATTCCCATTTGACCCTAAAAGCATTTCTCGTCCTTTCGGCACACAACACGAAATCTCAATAGTTCAACGAGAACCACACCAAAGTTCAGATAGAATTAGGTGGCTTAATGTCTGGAAGTATATATGTTGAAAATTCGAAACCTTTAAGTTGAACACTCACGCCAAAAGTTTGTAGCATCGCAAGAACTTGACTGCGTTTCGCTGTAATTGGATGTTTTGCTCATGGCGCATCTTTAGTCAGTGAATGATTAACCTGTCACCCGTTTTGCTATGATGTGATAGACGTATAATCATCATTCCACTGTTGTTTGTTTGTACAGTCAATAGCTGTTCAAAATAGCAACTGATGCTCATTCCAGCAGGAAGTGGAACTGAATAGTATCCAGCCATAACATGGTAGCTATGATGATAGCGGAAAACCCTCAAAAGTCAGGTAACAGTTGACCGACAGGCGATAAACTCAGCCAAGCTGGTAATATTTATACATACTGCCAACGTAACAATCAATTCTGCAGATTTACTTCCCTCAAAAGATTGAAAGGATGAGCAATGTTAAGAGAAACTTTAAAGACTGGGGTTCCAGTTCTTCTGAGTACTGGGTTAGACAACGGGTTAAAAGTGTGGAATTTTTCAGTGTAACTGTGTACGATAGATGCGTATCAATTTTAAGACTAGTTCGATCTTTGTCCAGTGGACTCACATTTGTGATATTCAGTTATGAAATGCCGGCTAAATGTCAAATACTGGTGATTATAGGCGAGTTACACGGATGAGTAAAATATTGTAGAATAAAAAAACGTCAGCGTTCCTTGTCCACCATGCAAATGTTGCAGAAAGAATACTGTGGATTCGTGAAAGCAGGTACCACTTTCTTGTGCGGTCAACTTCGTTCTTGTTAGAAAACAGTTTATCAGCGTGCATTTGAGTATACCTTCCACTATCTTTCAAATCAACTGGATTTTCCGACTAAAAGAACATGAGCGATAAGCAGTCCAAACTCTAAGGATGCTGAGTGCGCCATCATCGACCAAAGGCTAACACTCCGCCACTCTCTTACGCCCAGACAACCATGACAATAAACCCCACACTGTATTTTGTGGTTATTCACCACAATTTTACCAGTTATTTCCCTTAAATTTTCTCAAAGTGTAATACCTACCTTGGCACATCTCCCATACACATTTGTGAGTAATCAGACACTCAAAAAATTCCACATTCGTTATCCCAATTTAGTTACTGCGCTTCTAACAACTGCATCATCATCTGAAACTGTAATTGTTATCCCTGGTGTAAATGTGATTCACGACAACATTTCTCCCGCTGTGATATAGGATCCACCTCTTGGGATGGTAAATTGTCTTTTCATTCTTAGAGGTATGCACTACTAAGATTGTTCCCGTGGGAGTTTAGGTGTTGAAAGAGCTACCACATATTGACAACACATAGTAAAATCCAGTTTAACAGTTTAGAACGAGGAAATGTCAGGGCGTGGAACGTCAGGTTTTGTGTTCTGATAAATGATAAGTGACCAGTTCACTCGACGATAGAGACACTATGACATGTAAGGGGGGCCGAAGCGATCAGCTTCTCCAGGTTGGCGACGCACCATTTGTGAGCAGCCAATTTCCCAAATAAGTGATTGGATTCGGAGGGTCGACTATTATCACCTCCGTCAGTGCGAGTGATAGGGATGTAGCTGCAAAGAAAAACATATTGTGTTTGATGAACTTTTTCGAACAGTTTCAAAAGGCAGAGTAAAATATATCGGGTTCTAATAGAGCATACTCTTTTGTCCTAGAAAATATTACTTCCCTAAAAATAACTGAAAAATGTCGAACATTTCCACAACGAGACTATTGTGTAGGCACTAGGGACCTCTAAGTCTGAAGGGTTAACCACCGACTGTGAGTGAGCCAAACTTAGGGTTGAGTCTGTAGTTACAATTTCATCAACAGTACTTACCGACTTCATGAAGTAGGGTTGACTTCGGTGAGCGAAGATGAATCGTGGGAAACGGGCCAAATTGATTTTCTGTTACCATACGCTGGAACAGCTGTCTATTAGCTGAAAGAGTACAAAGAGAACAAATCCAAAATTATTACCCTTTTTGATGGTATCATATGCTTTGATTAGTTTAGCACTCTGTATTATTCAAACATTTATCGTAGCTTATGACCTTATGACGATATCAGCCAAGTAAAATACCGTCGTTAAAACCAATTTCTAAAGCCTCTTTAAACAAATACTTAAATACTTTGAAGAGATTCGGTTGAACAAACCGGACCAAATGCAACGTACGAAACATTGAGAGAGAACCGAGGAAGGGGAGTGAAAACATCAAGATTTTCCATGGGAGTTTCGCAAAAGCATGAACCACTCAAGAGAGACTGGTGGTTGTGTAGTGGCGTATGACCACATGCACGTAAGCAGAGCATGCTCACGTAGTTACAGTAAATGTACAAAGTTGACTTATCGCTGTTACACTCGCCCCGGACAGCTCTATCAGAGAGCTAATTTACTGCAAGTAGTTGACAATCGGGAAGACTCATGATCAACGTAAACTAAGGGTGGCGGGATCCACAATATATCTATCTTCAGCTGTGACTGAGTGACTGACTGACATACCGGTGCATCCCCTTAGATGCCTTGAGAACGCACTTTTGGCACTGAAATTTGTGAATGTGAACAAAGATGGGAAAATGTCCTTGCGACTCACCGAACAGAAATCAGAAATTCAAGTCTAAATGCATTCAGTACAGTCTGTATACTTTTTCACCTTCAGTATGACACAAAGTTTGCAACGTGTTTTTTTTATTATTTTCAAATCACATTTGTATACATTTATGCATATAAATTCCTGTGTTCATATTTATATATGCCTTTCTGTATACTAATATATATATATATATATATATTATACATATGAGTTGTGTTGAAAGGCAAGCGAAACTGT